ACAGACACACTGCCTGCACGTACAGACACACCCTTACCCAAACAGACATGACATACACATCTCCTGGTGAACAGGTAAGTCTTTTGACAATGCCCTTTGCCTTAGTTTTAAATATGCCTGTTGATAGAGAACTTGACCTTTGACCTGCTTTCACGTTTCTGAGCTCTGACGAGATACCTTTTCACAATGCTTTACTTTTTCAAGGCCCGTGCTGCTTTATTTTTACAAGGCCTGAGGCCTATATCGGATAAAGGCCCTTTTAATAATTATTTTTTTCTATTTATTTATTTATTTTTCTGACATACCTTTTTTTTTTTTTTTTTTTTTTTTGGAAAACCCGCTTGCAAGGTCTCTATCCCAGTGGTGGTAAGAGAACCGCCAGGATTGAGGCTCACATACCAAAAAACACCCCCCAAAAGTTTTTATTTTTTTTTATTTTTTTGTAACAGGGCCATAGAGGTCGACATGCGAGGCCCGCGCGCGCACGTCGTTTTCCCGCGCGCGCCCCCGCCTGGGCCTGGGGCGGCCGCACAGAAACTTGGCCACGCGGCCTCAACTGCGGGCCCGTGGTCGGCCTCCTCGACCGCCTCCTAGGCCGCAGGATCCGCGGCCTGGGGTGTCACGTAGCCTGCACTCCTTCCACAATGCAAAGGGGCGCTGCGTCTGCTGCAATCGCATGTGAATCCTCCTTTCACTATTCTTCTCGCCACCTCCCCGCGACCTTTGCGCTCATGCCTGGCCGACGCCCTGTTGCGCCATAGGCATGCATGCCTTCCCTATCTGCATCCACAAGGCAAAGGTCTTTTTCTGCTGCTCGCCCATCCTGCTCCTCTTGCACCACCTCGACCGCCTACCAGGCTACTACAAAGACAAAAAATCCGGTTGTCGTTCTCGACGGTGGTAGAACCGCCACCCTTCTGGAGATCCTCCCCCCTGGGTCACTAACGCGGAAATGTCCCCTTGCAAGTCTCTCTTCTTTCAAACTCTTCAGGCTGTTGGCTCTCTGATTTGTCATTCTACTTGACAGATGTCATCAGTGCCACCTTCACCGCAACAAACTGGAACACTTCTCTTCACTGCCAGGTCCAAGCTCATTGGATGAGCTCATCGTACAGACATACACGAGGGCCACCCCAGTAAGCCACAGAAAAGCAACCCCAGCAATTTCTCTAGTACGAGAAGTGGTCATCGCAACTGCTTTCTCTCTGCAACTGCCTTCTTTTAAAAGATGATGAAGTGGCGACTGGTGCTCTGCCTTGGCAAAGGAAAGCAGGGTTGGAACTGCCAACCTCACAAGCAGTTGGGCTTACTGCCGATTTCTTTTACCCGTGGTGAAAATCAGGATGGGGAGGGAACTCAGGGAAGTTGGGAGAGGGAGGAAAGTCGGGATGGAGAAGGGGAGGGAAATTGGGATCCAAGGAGGGAAGTCGAAATGAGCCCCTTCCGTGATAAGATACTGTTGATTATAAGAGAGAGAGAGAGAGAGAGAGAGAGAGAGAGAGAGAGAGAGAGAGAGAGAGAGAGAGAGAGAGAGAGAGAGAGAGAGAGAGAGAGAG